TTGTTCATTTTGTAATGATATCTTTAATTCTCTAATTTCGGTGAATATTTTTGTAATTTTTGGTAAAAAGTGATATTTTCGACTTCTTGTTGTAAACCGCAAGTCCAATTGCTTTGATATTACATATATAGGTACTACATGTGAACCTCTCTCAGATTTGTTCATTTCATGATGATATCTTTAATTCTCTAATTTTGATGAATATTTTTGTAATTTTTGGTAAAAAGTGATATTTTCGACTTCTTGTTGAAAACCGCAAGTCCAATTGCTTTGATATATTATACATATAGGTACTACATGTGGACCTCTCTCAAATTTGTTCATTTTCTAATGATATCTTCTGTTCTTTAATTGCCATGTGCATTGCTAACAGCGGAGCTATCTCAGCCGACAGGCTGCTTGTTTAGTTTTTTTTTCGAAGTTTGGATCAAAATTTGTAGGTAGTAGAAAATGATGTCTGTTTGGTTCAAAATTATCAAAAACCTTATGGAAGTATATAAACAGGCAAAATATTGATACTATGTTTTGATACGAACTAGTTTCATACAAAAATGTTAGCAATATAGAATTAGAAATATATATCGTCAAAATAATAAAACCATTCAGATAAATTCCATACTTTGTAAAAATTTGACAAATTTATTATAATCAACATTTTGATGAAAAAATAAAAAAAATTATATTGTTACATAATGTTATAAAATATAAAAATAAATATAAATATAAAAATGGCTAAATTTGTATGGTTATACAAAATATTAATTTAAAAATATTAAAACCTTGACACATTTATTAAATATGATATTTTGATGACAAATAATATATATAATACCATGTTAGGAAAAATGTTCAAATGTAGATATAATATATGGGTTGAAACACATATTTAAATTTTGTGTTATTTATTTGTATTTGTAGTTGGTAATGGTTGTACAACAAGTCCTTGTTTGAACAGTGGTACATGTATAACTACTGGTAATGGTTATACTTGTAATTGTAATACAGCATATACAGGACAGAATTGTGAAATTCTTATGTGTGAGTAAACAATTTATAACAAATACAAAACTGTACATGATTGTGGAGAGCATACATAATCTTTTCCTTTGACATTCAACCAGGCCTCTCGCAGAATGTAAGTTTGCAAATGTGAAAGTACGACTCAGTAATTTAAATCACTATGTATTGTGCTGTACATGTTCTACTTTCGACACAATGTGCTGTATGTGTTCTACTTTCAACACAATGTGCTGTATGTGTTCTACTTTCAACACAATGTGTTGTATGTGTTCTACTTTCAACACAATGTGTTGTATGTGTTCTACTTTCAACACAATGTGTTGTATGTGTTCTACTTTCAACACAATGTATTGGCAATGTGTTGTATGTGTTCTACTTTCAACACAATGTATTGTCAATGTGTTGTATGTGTTCTACTTTCAACACAATGTATTGTCAATGTGTTGTATGTGTTCTACTTTCAACACAATGTATTGTCAATGTGTTGTATGTGTTTTATTTTCAACACAATGTATTGTCAATGTGTTGTACGTGTTCTACTTTCAACACAATGTATTGTCAATGTGTTCTACTTTCAACACAGTGTATTGTCAATGTGTTCTACTTTCAACACAGTGTATTGTCAATGTGTTCCACTTTCAACACAATGTATTGTCAACATGTTCTATGTGTTCTGTTTGCAGCACAATGTACTGATGGTAATGTTTGTCAAAATGGAGGATTGTGTTATGTACAACCTAAT